TTGAAGTCCTCCCCAGCCTCCGGCGCCAGAGAGACAGTCGACTCTACGACGGTTGACTCTACGACTTCGACCATCGAGCATGACGCCTCCCCGTCGCCTCGACCTGTGCCGGTAGAGGAGTCAGCATCCTTCGTCGACGGCGTCGATTTCGACGACGGCTTCTCCTTCCGCGGCTTGTTGTCCCGGCGTCGACGATTGCCGTCGAACTTTCCGCTGCCTCCCTTGTCGTCGTCGTCGCTCTCGTCGCGGTCGGGGCACTCGAAGGAGAGGTGGTCGGGGTCGCCGCATAGCCAGCATTCCCGCCGGCGACCGCCTCCTCCTCGACCGTTGTCCTGAGCCGAATTCGACCGCTCGGCATTCTTCGCCGATTTCCCACCTCCGCTACCACCTCCGCTTTGCTTCCCGCGTTGCCCCTGCTGACGACTCTGCTTCGTCGGGGCGACGTAGTTCGCTTGCGTAAGGAGCTCCGTGGGCCTCTCTGCCTCCTGCATAGCCTCATCCTTGATGATGTGGCTTGTGAGGGTATCCTCGTTGAGCGTCTCGCGCACGCCGGGCATCGCCATCATCCGCCGCATCAGATTATACCCACTCGGCAGTCCCTTGACGACGTGCGTGATGTAGGACGCCGTCGAGTAGTCGACGCCCGCCATCCTCATGTCGGCGAGGATCCGTCGAGCTCGGTTGCAGTAGTCCGTCGCCGACTCCTGCTCGCCCATCCTGAGGTGAGTCAAGCGCTCCTCCAGCTGGCCGATGTATAGGTCGTCGGTCGCCTGGTACGTCGACAAGATGAACCGCCACGCCTGGTGGCCGGCGTCTAGTCGAAGTCGACACGGCTTCAGAGCGATCTGCACCATCGGCGAGCAGCAGCACGAGATGACCATGAAGGTCAGCAGATGAGCCGCGCGGAATTCTGCCCGGAGCTCAACGTCGTCCTCTTCCGGCGTCACCACTTCACCATCTGCGAAGCATTTCAGACCCGCGATTTCCAACTGGGGCTCGATCGACTCCCTCCATGTGATGAGGTCTCGTCGACCTTCGAGCGGTATAGGCACAGCGATCTTGTCCGGCGAAAATTTGAAATATCTGTAGGCTGGCGCGATTCCGCCCGCCGTCACATGCGTAGAGGAGCTCTGCCTCACTCCACTTCTCTGCGGGGAGCGTCGTCGACCGTCCACGCCGCCGTGCGAGCTGCCCGCACCCACCGTTGACCGTTGCACTCGCGCATGTATTCCGCCGACTCCGTCGTCGGCAGCCCTGATCACTCCACGCATCCTCCTCGTGCCCTCGTCGTTGCTGACTTGGTCACCGCCGTCGACCTGCTCGTCGACGCCGCCTAGGTTGCGTGCCGGTCGGGGAGTGGCGGGCATACCATCCGCCTCAGTACGGGTCGTTGGATGATCGCGCGCCCACTGCACGCGGGTTCCAAGGAGCAGAACCTCCACGTTCGCTCCGCCGTACTCGCCAGCCGCGTGGCGTGCCCGAACATCATCTAACCGTGCCTGCAGGGTGTCCTCTACGCCTGCTGCGACCTCCTGGTCGTCCATGACGGTCTAGATGGTTGCCGGCCTACGACAACTTAGGTAATGTATGCAAAAGTCGACTAATCTGAAGGTTCTATGCGGGGCCGTTCCACGCTCACCGCACCATGCGGAGAGTCACTACACAACGGGAGTGGACTACGGAGGAAGGCACGGGGTTGTGCGGGTTATCGTAGCGTTGCGCTAGGAGTTCTCACTACTTGCTATGTTCACAAAGAGATATGGCAAGAGTTTCACTAAGAAATTGAGAGAACATTAGATTACAATGAGGCATGCAAGTCGATATAGCTAGAATGGCATTACAACACCTAGCAAGCCCTCTGCAAGACGAACTATGCCAGCGCAGCAGAAGAGCGGCTTGCCAACGCTGCAGCAGAGTAGTCTGCCAGCGCGGTATAGCAGCGGTCTGCCAGCGCGGTATAGCAGCGGTCTGCCAGCGCCGCAGAGGCAGGTGAACTTCTGCGCAGGTGCGCACCTACCAAGTAGGTGCAGGTAGACGGGCGCGCCGCCAGGCACATTGCGCAGGTGCCAGGTAGAACACGTGCCGACGGTTTCGCCAGCGATGCACCGTCGAGCACGTGATGCCGTTCCGCAGGTTGACTTCGCGAAAACCTCCTGGGCGACATTCGCACATATGACGAATTTCGCAGTCGCGCGACTTCCGTAGAGTAGCTCGACGAATGCTCCGTCGAGCAGCTTTCGCCTAAACGAGCCCTCTACCAGCCTCGTCGAGGAGCTCCTATACCAGCCTTGTAGAGGAGCTCCTATACCGACCTCGTCGAGGAGCCCCTATACTGAGAAGGTCCCATCGAACCGTACTCCTCGACGGACTCGTCGACCAGCGTCCTCTGCGAGCCCGTCGACCAGCGTCCTCTGCGAACGCGTCGAGGTCGAACTATACGGGCAGGTCGAGGTCGAACTCTGCGCGCAATCTACGACAACTTCTGCGCGCCCCCGAACTGCGAAGTCCGCTTCGCCCAAGCGAGGGCAGGGCCAATTCCCGTCAACAGTGTCACCTCCGCCTGTCCGTCTTCATTCTCGGTAGTGCGTGCTCCGATTGCTGCGGTGAGGAGTGTGTAATAATGTTTCAATAATCACTATTCGTAACAGAATCCATAAAGTCGCTAGAGTAGCGGAAATACTCTAGGAAGATAACGACGTCCCTACGGCGGGGCAATTGGTCACTCAGAGGTAGCACTTCTGGCCTGGCACATGGTGCCACTGCGGCGGCCGAGGGAAAGCCGGACACAAGGATTCAAATTGTGTAATAAGAACAATGCAATACATTCAGTTATATAGGAATCATAGCAGGCATGCAGTTACCAAGGCGCAACTGTATTACAGTTGCGCTGTAACGTTTCAGTTGCCCAGTTACTGTCGAGCTGGCGAGACCCTTCAGCTTCGGCAAGGGCGCGGTATTCTGCCGCGCCCCCCGGGGTGGTTTTGCGTACTGTAGATACTGCCTCCTGCCCGAATCTGACCCTTCAGCTGCCACGCGGGGCGCAACCACTGTACGCCGTGAGCGCCCCTGCAGCTCGGAACTTGAGTCAACACCCTCGTTATGGCGAGGTTCGTTAGCACACTTCAAACAGTGTACTTTAATATAAAAACACACAATCATATTCGCAACAAGCCTAAAGGGTTGTACCCCATAGGGAGTGAACCACTACAGCCTAACAATGTATGTTTGACAGGACGTTCGGGAGGCGAGGTCATCGGACTGAGCCTGGTCTTCCGAATGTCGGGCTGTACGCGTAAAGAGTGACACAGTAAGGGATTAGGAAAATTTCTTACTAGTTTTGTTTTTTTTTCAATAATCTTGTTGTACAGATTGGAAATCTCGTTATGGTGTGATCCAAACTGCTCGGATTGTGTGGACTCTGTCTTCTGAAATGTGCCAAGGGACATTGGTGGGATCGTTGGTGGCTGCTTGGATTGATGGTTTGGATCCTGCTTAGGCGGGAGAACGTTGTATTGGTTAAACTTCGAGTGCGCCCAATCATAAAGCTCCTTTTCTGCGCCGCGCTGGTGTGACTGCCCCGCAAGCGTACTCTGCCAGGAACCACGAACACACCCCATCGTGAGGGGTGCTGCGAATCGGGGCGGCGGGGGGAAGTGTAAACTGGCGATGGCGACTGTTTTCACGAAGAACGACGACAGAGCTACCTCTTCTCCACGGTCACGTGCAAAACACCAAGCACTCTGTTCTGGTTGATGGCTCAAAGACGAACTTTGAGTTTCCGTGAATGCAGGAAAGATTGCGCCAGATGTGGACGTTCAAAAGCCCATGTTCCTGCGTTTATTCATTCCGTATTGTCACAGTGTGAATGAGGTTTTCCTGGTATTTGATATGCTAAACGACGATAATTCAAGTTTGTGACAATAAGCTTCCAGTTTCAGCCGTTGGACTTGCAGGCTACAGTGACAATGGAGACCATCTGCTGCCTAGGTTCACAACCTGCTTGATGTATTTGGTCCATGGCTATGGCTGACGGTGGCTGGCTTTTGTTCTGACTCACTGCGCTTCTGCTGGTCACGGATTACGGACGAGATGAACGCCGTTTTTCGACCACAAGGCTGCACGCCCTAACTTTTTGCTGTGCTGGTCGATCGAAAGTCCACCGTAGCCGTTTTTCCGGCCTTTCCCTACTCAACGGCCTGTTTTACAGATTAGCCTAAAAGCTAAATAGGGTCCGTCCGCTATTGCGTTGACTGATCAACTCGTGTTTCCTTCGGTTGGTTGTGTTTTAATTTCGAATAACACGTCCTACTGCTGACTGACCAGCATGCGGTAACCCTAGTTTTCAGTAGCTGGGAGCAACCTTTTTCCCTCCCAGCGTTTTCGAGCATCGCCACGCCATCTCTAATATCCGTCCCTACTGTATCCTCCCTTAGCATTTTGTTTCAAAAGGCGTGTGGACCGACTGAAACGCTTCTTAAGCTTACCCTAAAAGGATAGCGATGGCGTGGGAAGCAACCGCATCACTCACGTCCAAGCTGTCCAATCAGGCCTCACTCGCCTCAGCGGTTAATTTAGACTCACAGCGCAAGCCGACGACCGCTTCTCTCTCACCATCCTTACCCGATCAATGGAGCCAATCCGGTTCCGCGAGAATATCCGGCTCCTGTGGTCTGACGTCAACCGTCAAGTCTAATCGCAAATGGCGAATGCCGGCCGATCAGCAGCCGTTCTTAACGGGATCGTCTGACGGTTTTTTTTCGTCGCACGCGTGCCTGACTCAGACCCTTCATTCAGTTGTTCCTAACTCTAACAGTAGCTGTAGCACATTACCTTATTGCTTTAATTCCCTAGACTCCCTCTCCGCTATTGGCAGCAACAACAGTAGCAATCCCTCCTCGCCTAGCGTTAGGAGTAATTTGTCCCCACTATGTATTCCAACCTTAAGCTCGGTAGCCGGTTCGGAGCTACGTCCGGCAGCAGGCTCGGCACCGAGCCCGTTGATGGTGGAATGCTTCGAGGTGGAGCGGTGCGAGGGGTTGGAGGGACACGTGTCGATCAGTGGTGCTAAGAACTCCGCTCTTGCGGTTCTCGCGGGTGCTATCTGCTCCTCCGAGCCTCTCGTTTTGCGTCGGGTGCCAGACCTTCATGACATCAGGCGCATGTTCCAGGTTCGGCCGACGACATCCGTCCCTGCTTCCTGTTTCTTCCTTGGAGCATCTAGCGTCGTCATTTCGGGCGACAACGATATAGAATTAGCTTGATCCGCCGAGAGTTGCATTTGCTTGGCATTGCGGCCATGTCCTTATATTCATACCACTACTTCCATGGCATTACTGTCAATGCCATTACTCCCATGTCATTACTGCCATGTCATACGGCCATGCCTTTGCCGTGTCTTATGTCCATGTCCTTACTGCCAAGTCATCACTGTCATTATTTTCTTGTATCAGGTCCTTCAATCGGTCGGCGTGAAAATACAGCGAGGAGTGGACGGCCAGGATTCATCCGTGCTGGTCGATGCGTCCTGTCTGTCGTCCGTGGAGCCCTGCGCCGACGTGGTGCGGAAGCTTCGCGCCAGCTTCTTCGTAATCGGCGCGCTTGTGGGGAGGCAGGGGGAGGCGGTGGTTCCGCTGCCCGGCGGCTGCAACATCGGCGCGCGCCCCATCGACCTCCACGTGCGCGGCCTCGAGGCGCTGGGCGCAAAGGTTGATATCAGGTGAGCACAATAAGTTCACATTGATGTTACGGGCCAAAATGCGGTTCGTTGCCTGACACTTAATCGAAATCATGTTTTTCTCCTAAAAAACGCTCTGTTACGAAATGACTTGGGCATTGTACGTTCTGGTCGTACATCAGGGGATCCCGCGCCAAATAAGGCGGTTTGGCTGTCGTTCTTCTGTTCGTTACGCGTTTGTCCGTTAAGCGTGACGTTAATTGCGACAATCGAGCATATTCGTCATTGGTGTTCGTTGAGCGCTGTCCGCCTAACTGCCTAAGTCGTCAGTTTTAGCCATTGTCGCTGCTTTTTGCTCTATTGTTCTGGGCTTGTAGCGGTCCAAAAACATTCTCTGACATGTCTCAAGCCTTTCGGGCAATGTCGCCATTCAAACCTCGAAGCTCGTCGGCTTTCTCTCCCTCGTCAATCCTTGTCCTCCCCACCGCACTCCCAAACTTCTACATCTCCATCTCTTTTTTCTCTTTGCCGTTTGGTCCTTTTTTAATTTTCATCCCCTCCCCCCACCCTCCCCTCTCTATCTATCCCCTCTCTTCGCCTCTCTCCCCCTCTTTCCTCCTATCCCCTCCGCCTGCGCGCAGGCAGGGGCGCGTGCACGTGCAGACGGCGGACGGCGGGCGGCTCAAGGGCGGGAGCTTCTACCTCGATTTCCCGTCCGTGGGCGCCACTGAGACGCTCATGATGGCCGCGTCGCTCGCGGATGGCGAAACCACGCTCTCTAACGTCGCCCAGGTGAGCGCAGAGAGGGAGGTATGCGGGCGGACCGAGGGTCACGCAGTGGCAGTAAGCACCACGGACACGCACATGATGACCATCGCTCTTTGATTTGCAAACCACGCTCTCTGATGTCAGATGACCATCCGACCCGCTCGGGCGAGTGAGGTAGACTGGGCTGTGCACGGAGGTGGAAGCGACTGGTTAGGTTTGTATCAGCACCACCTTGGTGGCGCGGCCTTGTTGCCCACCATCACCATGTTGCTTTTGAGTCGACTCAAAAGTCGAATCGACTGGTAGGGTTTGTATCAGCACCACCTTGGTGGTGCGGTGCGTTCTTGTTGCCCACGATCACCACGTTTCTCGTCGTGTCCGCTCTTTCCCTCCGCAGTCACTCTGCTTCCCACGATCCCCAGTTTTGTCATGCCCAGCTTGCTCCCCATCGGACCTTTTTTCGCTCCTATCCCGTTCGCTCATCCCCAGTTCCTGCCTGTCGCCCTTTCCCTCCTACCTCCCACCAGGAGCCCGAGGTGGTGGATCTGGCGGGTGTCCTCAGCCCCTAATTCCCGCACCCCTTCTTTCTACCCCCTTCTGCCCCGGCGTCCCATCAGGAACCGGAAGTGGTGGACCTGGCGGATTTCCTCAGCTCCTGTGGCGCGCAGATCAGGGGGGCGGGCACCAACACGATCGTCATCAAGGGCGTGCCCAGGCTGGGCCCCACCGAGTTCACCATCATCCCAGACCGCATCGAGGCGGGAACCTTCCTGGCAGCTGCGGCCATCACGCGGTCGGTGGTGTCGCTGTCGCCGGTGATCCCGCGGCATCTGACGGCCGTGATCAGCAAGCTCAGAGCCATGGGGTGCCGCGTGCAGCAGACCAAGATCGGCACGCTCAAGGTATGTCGCGATGGTCTCCTGTCTGGTGCATTGCAGTACTAACAGGTTGGTATTAACAGGTCGTAGGGGGACGTGTATCTCAAGGGACTGTCGAGTCAAACAGGCTTGTAGTGGCTGGGAAAGTGGTGCTGAAGCCAGTCAGGCTGGGTATACTGTCTGATTTCCGTTATGTTTCATCGCCCGGTCCTCCAACCCGCCACACCAGATCTCGCCAGGCATCTGGCCGCTGAGAGCGACGGACGTGACCACGCTGCCGTACCCGGGCTTCCCAACGGACATGCAGCCGCAGCTCATGGCGGCGCTCACCACTGCCAGCGGCCAGAGCGTCATCCGGGAGACAGTCTTTGAGTCGCGGATGAGACATGGTGAGACGAACAGCCTTGTGGCGCTCTGTTGTATGCTACAGAGCTGCTGTAATGCTTGATGTGTGCGGGTGTTTGGCTGCAGTCGTGTTCCCTGTTTCTCGTTTTGCCGCTTCTTGAATATGCTCATCGTGATTCAAGTTTGGGAACCTCTTGTTTGCCTGTCTGTATGGCTGTCTTTGTCTGCATGCCTGCACCATTGGGTTCTTGTATTTTGGCATGCATGGCATGGTGTTTGTGGGTTGGGCACGTGGGGTTGGGGTTGGGGTTGTGATCCATGGCATGAATGGGTGCTCTTGCATTTTGGATGGTGGTTGTCGTGCTTTGAGCAAGCAGTGGAGGAGCTGCAGAAGATGGGCGCCAAGATCAAGATCACAGGCAACACCGCCATCATCAGCGGCAGGGATCAGGGCAGCCAGCTGTACGGCGCCCCCGTGGCAGCCACTGATTTGCGGGCAGGAGCAGCGCTGGTGCTGGCAGGGATGGCAGCGGAGGGGCGCACGCACATAGAGGGTGTGGCGCATATTGACAGAGGGTATGAGCGCCTGGATAGCAAGCTGCGTGGGCTGGGGGCTAGGATTCAGCGCCTGCCTTGCCTTCCGGCCGAACTCACTTTGTGAGGAGGGTGGTGAACGAGGGCTGGAGGCTAGGGTTCAGTGCCTGCCGTGCCTCCCTTCTGAGCTGAGCTCACGTTGTGAGGTAGCAGGTTGGGCTTCTGGATGTTAGGAGGATTTTGTGGAGGAAGGGGGCTTGGGGATTGAGTTCCAGGAGGAGCCTGTGGTTGTGGTCATAGGGGTTGTTAGGCGGCACTTGAGATCCCGTAGTTTTCTTTAAGAGACTATTGTAGTAGTTAGGAGCTTTATAGGGATGGCCAGAAATGTAGGTAGGAGGGTAGCAGCTGTTGTGGAGTCGTGGAGAAAGCTGGGTATGGGTAATAACTGCTGTTTGTGCATGTGTTAGGAGTTCATGCACTTAGATCCTATCCTGTGCAGCACACTCGTGATTCTCTCTATTAATAGCTGAGAGGAATTGTGAATGCCCTAGAAAGTGGCATTGATATTTGTTACACCATATTGTGCAGAAATGACCGGTCAGGTAATGTGATACTACCGGTAAATATCCTATGGATGTAACAGCTCAATGGATGTTGCACCAATGAACAGCTCAATCATGGTTGAGGTTGACAAAGAGAAAGATTCCAGCCTTGTGCTCTAGGCGGCCGATTCATGAATTTGTCAAAACAGGGTACCGGTAACAGATCAATCCTCAGCAGACCAGCACACACTGCATAGCTCAGCTCCAAACTACATATGGGAATCAAACGCTATACCCAGCAAAGTAGCTTCACATGCCCTGGAGCCTTGTGACACTTTCTTCCAGCTGAACTCTCCGCTGCTGATCAGCCACCTTGAGAGCTGCGAGCTTGGAAGCACTTCCAGCCTGAATGACCCCCCAAATCGCAGCATCAGTATCATCTACAAGAGCGTCCTCCAGAGACATCCGGATCTCCATCGGGATCACATCGCACAACCTCTTATGCACCACCTTAGCGTAGGAGAACACATTGATCTGCAGATCCCTTGCCGCCTGATCATCGTTGCTGATCAAGTCAGCTAATGATGCAGTGTTGGAGCTGAAACCGTCAATGCTGGGGGAGCTGCCATATCTATCTGCTTTGTACTCCGCAATCTTCTGATGTATTTTTGAAACGGTATCCATGTCGTAGTGATTCAGCGTGAAGATCACCCGCCTCTCCTTCAACAAAAGGTTCTTCGTCATCTGAATTGATGAATCCTTGGCCTTCTTCAAGGCAATGAGTGCTTGCAGCTGAGCAGCATTCTCCAGGTTAGGATACCCCGAGCAAGTCTTCGTTATCACGGCTTTCTGAACCTCTGCTGCATAGGAAAAGCAGTCCTCCACCAGCATCAAAGATGGCCCTTCAATGCTGTTGATCAACTCTTGCACCAGTTGTGTCAGCACAGCTTGATCCAGCATATTCGGCAGCGAAATCCCAGCAACCTCTTTCAGGGCATCTTTGCATCTCTCCGTGTATTTCTTTCCAAGAAAGTCGGGAAGAATTTTCCGCATCTGAGCCTCGTATTCGTTGAATTTCTCATTCAGCCTTGCAGCATAGTGCATGGAGATGTCACCATGAAGCTGGCCATATCTTCCACCAATGAGGCCAGTCATAAAGTCTCGCCTCCTTTGAATTGTGGAAGAGATCATCGCCAGTGCAGCACCATCCGAATTGGCAGCCAATGGAATTTTCTGCAGTTCGTCTTCCTTGGCAATCAGTGTCTTCTGGATGGACTGCCTGATCCGTGGAATGCTCTCTGCTACGTGCTTGGCTTGAATCTCTGACAGCCGCTGCGCAAGTGCTGGAATCCCTCGAGAATCGGTCTCAATTCTGCTCAATTCTGGATGGCGATCAAAGAAATCCGTTTCTGCAAGACGAGCAGCAGCGTGAGAAGCATCAGCGTCAGTCTTGTTCTTGACACACACGTAGCCCAGCCCAATCCGCACCGAGTTGCCCTGGATTTTCTCATAGAGGCCATCAGGAGCCCTGTCCACCTTGGTGACGACAGCCAGGGTACGATCTCCGTCCTGGTCAACCTCTTGAGACATTACAATGGATTCGCACGTGGAAAAGTCAACTTCAGCTGCAAGGACGTTGAGAATGACGCTCTCCTCCGGAGTAATGTACTGCATGATCATTTGCTTGACTTGATTGTAGATATCCTTCGGCTGATCCTCCACAGGAACTCGAGTGATTCCAGGCAGATCCACCAGTGTCAAGTCAGGCAGTCCAGATCGCTTCACCTGCAGAGTGATTGGGCGATCCATAACTCCTTTTCTGCTCCCAGCTAAGGTCACAGTGGCCTTAGAAATCTCCTCTTGAATGCTTTCTTCATCAGGTAGGACTTTGAAGACCTTTCCAGAACCTGGATTGTTGTACTCTATTGTGATCTCTCCGTCTTTCTTTGTGCATGACTGGAGCCTCAGAATCAGCGGCACTCGTGTAACAATCCCATTCCCTCTGGGTAAGCTGATTCCCGACAGGTTCTCCAGGACGGATGACTTGCCGCTGGATTGGTCACCAACGACAACGATAGTCGGAAGTTCGATCCCCTCCTCCTTTAGGCCCAGAATCCGAAGCTTATCGATGGCATCAAGCATCGGACGGACGTTTTCGTTGAAGGACGAGATGAGCGGCGCCGAGACGAGGCTCTGCTGAGTACCTGATCGGAATCACAAAGATAAGAATGAAGTCAGCACTCGAAAAGGAATATAACTTGTAAACGTCTACAACCGTCTATACTTCACGAGATTGAATTTCCTGAACAAGCAAACGTACCAGACTCCAGAGGAGACAATGACGCTCGGCAAACGAGTCCAGACGGCGCCTGTCGTGATTCACAATGGGAAAACGTCTCATGACTGAGGCGTCTGAGAGATATCGAGCATGGCTTCGCAGCTTTTACGCCTGGCAGTCGCAGTCGAAAAGGTGTGAACAACTCGCTTCGGTTAATGCTCTGAGAGCAGCAGCCTTGAGCGAAGCGTGAAGCACCGGAAAGATGCATCAGTCCGCACTGAGATCGAAGGAGGGCCATGGAGGTGTCTAACAGACTCGACAGTGCTCGCGCCGGATAGTCGAATGGGACGAGCCCTGAGAGATAGGACGATCGGTGGAGTTATAAAATGGATAGTGCAGGGTTTGGCTGTGCTTGCCGCAAGACTCTGTTGGCAGCAATCACTATAGACGGCTGCAGCCAGAGCAAAACCGTTTTCCTGGTTCCTGCTGGCGGCAGTTTGGGCCTTCTGAGTGAGCGCAACTGCATGCATGCTTGAGCCAAACAAGACCAGTTGCGGAGCGTTTGAGCAAAACGAAAACTGCGTCAATTCCGATCGTGAGCAAGGCGTGGACAAGGCGTGGACAAGGCGTGGACAAGGCGTGAGCGAAGCAGGATCTGAGTGAGCGAGCGAGCGAAAATTAGTTTTGCTTGAGCGATCGGCAGCACAGGGGATCCAGCGAGGGGGGGGGTTGGGGAATCCATTTTCGAAACTCGTTTGGGCTGTTCAACTCGGAGTCAACCGTCATTGACTCCAGGTCTGGTGTCCAGGCGCAAGCGGGACGTAAGGGGGGGGAAGGCGCGGACGGGCGATTCGGTATTCGGGGGTGTACTAAACCTGCATCTGCGCGAGACGAAACTTCTCGCCCACAACAGTTTTCGGCCTGCCTGTCGCGTTTACTGTTGCGAAATGTTTAGGTAGCCCAGCTCCTGTAGACCAACCTAACCTTATATCAATTTGTATGTCCTAATTTAACAATTTCATGTAAGGTGAATTAATAAATATTTCTCAAAACTCGCCTCTTTTACATTATATTTCTGATGTCGTGGCAGCCCAGTAATTTAAAGTCTAGGGTGAATATTCCCACGAAATGCTGGGTCAAGGAATCTAATTTTCATCCCTCGTAAGCCCTGGCAACTCAACGGAATCTATTTCTTATCCCCCGAATACTAGGGCGGAGTGTTTTCGCCATGGGGGGGGGATCTGGGGGAGGATGCGACGCGGAACCAAGCCTAGCGTGGGATTCGCGTCGCGTTTTTTGGCCACGTTCGACATTTTTTTTCACATTTTTCGTGTCTGACCGAAGTGCTTTGCCTGATTCGTACAGGTCGAACCTGGAAGCCCGACATTTTGATTCTCCCTGAAACCCCCTCCCCTGGCTGCCGAACATCGCCTTGGTGTTACGAGTGCAATTGAGTGAGCGAGCGAGACTTGCACTATCTAAGCAAAACAGTACATCGAGCGAAGGCATGAGCGAAGAATATATAGCGAAGCTAGCGTGGTAACGGTAATGCGTAAAAATGGGGTGCGCTACGGGCCTAGCGCCGAGGCTGGGTATTGTCGAGGCGGAGGTCCGGAGCACGGGTTACCAACCGAACCGTGAGGTTGGGTCGCGTTGTGAACAGTAGCAGGAACAGTGGTCAAGGCGGGTGTCGCGAGTGGTAACGGACGGTGCACTGTTGAGAGTTGTTGGCGGGAATAGTGATGTACGCGCTGTTTGGGCGGTTGCGAGGCAGTTGGCTGGTGGATGGGATGTATGGGCGGAGAAGGCTGACGTGGAATGACGGGCTGACGTACCCGTCAGCAGGGAGGAGGAGGTGGGCGGTGACGGGGGTGATCATATGGCTGATGCGAAATGGCCCACAATATCGGGGGCGGAGTTTCGGGGTAATGAGCGGGCGGAGATTTTGGGTGTCGAGGAGTACGAGGTCGTCGGGTTGGTAAGTGACTGGGCGTCGGTGGCGGTCAGCATTGCGTTTAGCGACGATGTTTGACCTGTTTATTGCGCCTGCTGCACGGGTTCGTGCTACAGGGTTGTCGGGATTCGTGGTCATGGGTACTGTAGGGTCTTGTCCGTGGTTCAGGTAAAACGGTGACTGTTGGGTCGTGGCGGATGGCGAGTTGTTGTATGCGAACTCGATGAGTGGCAGTTGCTGTTCCCAGTTGGTCGGGTCGTCGCACGTGGCTCGGATAAGTTGCTCCATGGTCTGGTTTGTCCTTTCTGTCTGTCCGTCAGTTTCGGGGTGGTACGATGAACTGAACTGTAGTC